GGCTGTCACTATCAGTCCCAGTAACTCCTTGTTGGCAAAATTTAAACATAAACTAAAAGAATACATGATCCGTTCTTATTTCTGTATTTGGTCTTTCAATTTGTCCTTCAGTAGTACCTTAATATTCTATGTTGGTGCTTATATCAATATGAATGCAACCAACCAGATGAAGGTCACTAAATCCTGCTCACTTTTCCCCATGAATTACATCATCTGGGGATTGATTTTAACACTGACAACCTCCAGAGATGTGTTTCTTGTAGGAGTCATGCTTACCACAAGTGCATACATGGTGATTATATTGTTCAGACATCAGAGGCAATGCAAGCATCTTCATAGCATCAACCAACTGAGAGTGTCCCCTGAGAAAAGGGCCACCCAGAACATCTTGCTGCTGGTGATTTTCTTTGTGATCCTGTACTGGGTCGATTTCATTATCTCAACTACCTCATTCCAGTTATGGAAATATGACCCCTTCATCCTGACTGTTCAGAAGTTTGTGATAAATGCCTATCCCACAATAACTCCTTTGGTACAAATCAGTTGTGATAAGAGACTAATTGATGTGCTTAAAATCTTGCAATCAAAATGTCAGCAGATGTTTTAAAAAGATGCTTTTTTTTCCTTTTTTTTTTTTTAAAAGGTGATTCATTCTGTTTGCCCTTTGAGTGAAGTTTCAGCCTCTTTCCTAATTTCCACCTTGTTGTTTAGCTTTCTCAGGACTATAGATTTTAGTATGTTTATCCTGTATTATATGTCTAATATCTACTTATAAGTGAGTATATACTATATGTGTCTTTCTGCTTCTGGGATAGCTCACTCGAGATGATCCTTTCTAGTTCCCACCATTTGCCTGTAAATTTTGAGATTTCCTTGTTTTTAATTGCTTAGTAGTATTCCAGAAGGGAAAACAAAATAGACATCGGCAGTAGGAGAAGACAAGGAACAGGACCAAAAGCCTTCAGGGACCAAAGGGGCCTTTGAAAGACTCTACTCACCAGGATATTGGAGATGCTGAGACTCATAGCCAAAATATGGACAGAATGCAGGGAATCTTCTAAAAGAAGAGATGACAGAAAGACCTGGAGAGGGCAGGAGCTCCACAAGGAGACCAACAGAGCCAAAACACCTGGGCCCAGGGCATCCTGCAAAGACCAATGCTCCAACCAAGGACCATGCATGGAGATGACCTAGAATCCCTGCTCAGAGGAAGCCCATAGGGTGCTCATTTCCAAGTGGGTCTTCTAGTAAGGGGAGCAAGGGCTGTCTCTGACATTAACTCAGTGGCCTGCTCTTTGATCACCTCTCCCTGGAGGGTGCAGCCTTGCTATGCCACAGAGGAAGATGATGCATCCCCGATAGGGTAGGATCAGATAGAAGGGGAGGAGGACCTTCCCTATCAGTGAATTAGGGAAGGTGCATAGAAAGAGAGGAAGGAAGGTGGGTGGGACTGGGAGGAAATGAGGGAGGGGGCCACAGCTGGAATACAAAGCGAATAAATTGTAATAAACAAATAAATTTAAAAAATATTTAAAAAGTGATTTATTAACTTCTATTTATATGTGCAAGTGCCATTATTAGTTGGGTTGGTGTTTAACTTTTTTTTTTTCCTTAGGTAGTATGTTTATAATAATAAGTGTTTGTATGATCAGATTAAAGCTGAAGGTAATGTCAGGACAGGAAAGTATAAGTAATTTTGGAAAAAAATGGCAAGGATCTTTGTTGAGGGAGGTATTATCACAAGTCATAAGTTGTATTATAGCTTATTTGGTTAACAACAGTGGAGAATTTAGGTTTAGGAAGAAAGTGGGGTGCAGCATGTTGAGATGAAAGTACG